TTTATGTCTCAGGCTTATTGTACCAGTATTGATGTTTTATTTAATTTTTCTGACCATATGGAATTGATTGTTCTATAATGACCTATTTTTAAAATATACATTTAATAAAATATGCTAGATTTTAACTGTATCTGTATTATCTACTTCTATCTATTACAACAGAAATGGCCATCGTATAATTATTTATTTTTTAATCGTCTATTATTATGACTTGATATTTATTAAATTTTTTTTTATAAAGTCATTAGTGATTAACCTCTTATTGACTACTTATACTTAAATTGAAAGCAGAATAAAGATTAATCTTTTTCCCTTAATCTATATTATGTATATTCTGTAACATGCATTTATATACACTTATATATACAGTATAAATGCATTATAGTAAATCACCGAGTTCTATCTGGACAGGGGGTTTTTCGTATGGAGCTAATGCTATCATACAGCATGATGCTCCTTTTTGTTTCAGTAATAATGTTCATCTCTGTCAGTAGCCTGATCGGCGATCATAATACATTCTGCTTTCCCCACCTAGAATATGGCGCCTATCCTGTAAGTCCCATGTATTCTGAATAGACACTGGAGGAATAACTGCATTCTCCTCAGCGTCCTATGGCAAAATGGCGCCGATCTACTGCGCATGCGCGAGACGCCGGCAAAATGGCCGCCGCGACTAGCGCGATTGCCATTTCTGTGTATAAATAGATGGGGAAGGATGTCCTGCTGTAAGCCCTGATCCTCTGAGGACGTGCATCGCACGAAACGCGTCAGGGGGGCTACAGCTTTTGGACATCTAGCCACTACATGTGGCCAACATTGTATGGTCAGTTCATTTTGTTGTTTCACCCTTTTTGGCTAAATAAACCTCAGTCATACAGCATCACACTATGTGGCGTCCTTTATTGGGCTCTCTTTGAGAGCACCACCTCCCACAGTGCCTATCTGGACTAAGGAGTATTTCTGACGCCTACACGGTTTGATGAATCCTGGTTACTGTGCTTCGCGGTGAAACAGAGGATAGTACGGAGTGCGGTCTGACCAGAGCCTTGATGCTGGAGCGTTTATGCAGATTACACATCTCTACATGCGTTAGTTAAACGCACCTCTGGTGAGTGCGCACTCTATCTGCTCCTAGGATTTTTCACCTTTCTCATCACCACTGACCTGGGATGAGGACTTTACGTGTGCTTTAACATTTCTCACGAATAGCGCACTGTTTACCGTGGTACTGTGATAGGTTGCCACCTGTGCAAGAAGTCCATCTGTGAAATTTCCTTGCTACTAAATATTCCACAATCAACTGTGAGCAATATTATAACAAAGTGGAACTGACTGGAAACAGCAACTCAGCCACAAAGTTGTAAGCCACGTAAAATAATAGAGCGGGGTCAGTGCATGCTGAATTTCACAGAAGTCGCCAACTGTCTGCAATAGCTAAACACCTCCAAACTTTGTGTGGCCTTCAGATTAGCACATCAACAAAGCGTAGAGCTTCATGGAATGGGTTTCTATGGCTGAGCAGCTGCATCCAAGCCTTACATCACCGAGTGCAATGCAAAGCGTCGGATGCAGTGGTGTAAAGAATGCCACCACTGGACTTTAGAGCAGTGGAGATGTGTTCTCTGTAGTGACGAATCATGCTTCTCTGTCTGGCAATCCGATGGACGTGTCTGGGTTTGGCGGTTGCCAGGAGCACGGTACTTGCCTTACTGCATTGTGTCAAGTGTAAAGTTGGGGGGGGGGGGGGGGTTGGGTTTAGCCCCTTCGTTCCAGTGAAGGGAACTCTTAATGTGTCAGCATACCAAGACAGTTAGGACAATTTCATGCTCAACTTTGTGGGAACAGTTTGCGGATGGCTTCTTCCTGTTCCAACAGGACTGAGCACCAGTAGGGTCCATAAAGACACGGATGAGCAAGTTTGGAGTGGAGGAACTTGAATGTCCTGACCTCAACCAGATAAAACACCTTTGGGATGAATTGGAGTGGAGACTGTGAGCCGGGCCTTCTCGTCCGACATCAGTGCCTGACCTCACAAATGCGCTTCTGGAAGAATGGTCAAACATTCCCATAGACACTCCTAAACCTTGTGGTTACCAGAAGAGTTGAAGCTGTTATAGCGGCAAAGTGGGGGCCAACTGAATACTGAACACTATGGACTAAGACTGGGATGCCATTAAAGTTCATGTGCGTGTAAAGGCGGGCATCCCAATACAATGTCAATGGCATGACCTGCAAATCATCCGGACCTCAATCCAACTGAAAATCCAAGGTGGAAGTTAAAGAAAATGGTTCATGACAAGGCTCCAACCTGGCAACTGCAATAAGAGAAAGTTGGAGCCAGACTGATGGAGAATACGGTTTGTCGAAAGTTAAAATCCAATCCTCAGAGAATTCAAGCTGTTATAAAAGCCAGAGGCGGTGCAACAAAGTACTAGTGGTGTACTGTAGTGCTTTTTTTTCTCTTTCATGATTCCATAATATTTTCCTCAGAATTGACCGATTCCATATTTTTTTCCTCTGCTTGATCTGCAAAAACAGTTGCAATTGACTACATTTTTTTTTTTTAAGTGTTTCTTAAAGCCAGAAGCTTGGAATGTTAAATGAAAATAATTTTGAGGCATGTCTGATTATTTTTGTTCTACACAATTAAACATTTGAATTAACATTTTCCAAGAGTGGCAATTCCACACTTTTTGCCAGGGGTAGTACTCAGTTTGTATGGTCCCCCACATGATTGTATGCGGGGCATGCTTCTAAGGAGACAATGGATGGCATCCTGGGGGATTTCCTCCCAGATCTGGACCAGGGCATCACCGAGCTCCTGAACAGTCTGAGGTGCAACCTGGCGACATCGGATGAACGAAACATGATTCTGTTCTATTGGATTTAGGTCAGGCGAGCGTGGGGGGCCATTAAATGGTATCAATTCCTTCATCCTCCAGGAACTGCCTGCATACTCTCGCCACAAGAGGCCGGGCATTGTCATGCACCAGGAGAAACCCAAGACCCACTGCACCAGCATGGGGTGCGACAATGGGTCCAAAGACTTCATACCAATACCTAATGGCAGTCAGGGTGCCATTGTCTAGCCTGTAGAGGTCTGTGTGTCCCTCCATGGATATGCCTCTCCAGACTATCACTGACCCATCACCAAAACGGTCATGCTGAACGATGTTACAGGCAGTATAACGTTCTCCATGGCTTCTCCAGACCCTTTCACGACTGTCACATGTGCACAGGGTGAACCTGCTCTCATCTGAGAAGCACAGGGCACCAGTAGCGGACCTGCCAATTCTGGTGTTCAATGGCAAATGCCAAACAAGCTCTATGGTGCCAGGCAGTAAGCACAGGGTTCACTAGAGAACGTCTGGCCCTCAGGCCACCCTCAAGAAGTCTGTTTCTGATGTTTGGTCAGAGACATTCACACCAGTGGCCTGCTGGAGGTCATTTTGTAAAGTTCTGGCAGTGTCATCCTGTTTCCTTGCAAAAGGAGCAGATACTGGTCCTGCTGAGGGTTAAGGACTCATCCTGTCTCCTACAGTAACTGCCTGTCTCCTGCTCCTCCATGCTCTTGAGACTGTGCTGGGAGACCCAGCTAACCTTCTGGCAATGGCATGTATTGATGTACCATCCTGGAGGAGTTGAACTGCCTGTGCAACCTCTGTAGGGTCCAGATATTGCCTCACGCTACCAGAAGTGACAATGACCCTAGCAAAATGCAAAACTAGTGAAAAACAGTCAGAAAAAATGAGTAGGGAAAAAAAAAGTCAGTGGCCTCCACCTGTAAAACCATTCCTGTTTTGAGGGTCATCTCATTGTTGCCCATCTAGTGCACCTGTTAATTTCATTAACACCAAATCAGCTGAAACTGATTAACAACCCCCTCTGCTACTTCACAGACCAGATCAATATCCCAGGAGTTTAACTGACTTGATGCTATGCTCTTAATTAAAAAATGTTCCTTTAATTTTTTTTTGAGCAGTGTATACTGTTGGGTGTTCATGCTTTTTTAACAGAAAAAAGTTTAATAGTTTTGGTCTATTTTCCTTTTAATAGTAATAAAAATAAATCTCAGTGGTTACCACCAAAGGAAAGCTCGGTCTCCAAAAAAGTTATAAAATCCATTAGTGTTGCATTGCAGTAATTGTCAGTCAAACTATCACACCACCTAAAACGGGAAAATGGCCTGATACTGAAGGGGTATTACAGGCTGGTACTCAAGTCCTTAATATGGCTATATCTTAGAGAAGCTGGACATAGCGATAATTATTTGGATCCGTGCAGTCTTGGCCTTAATGTCGTCATGCAAGATGGCTGCACATTTGGATACTGTTGGCATGACACATTTTAACAATAAGTCACCACCACGATTAGTAATCTGAATCAGCTGTCAAATTGGGATTAAAGCATGTCAAGCTTGGAAAGGCGGCCAGACATGTAGACATTATTTGACCTGACAACCATTACTTTTACACAGTCACAGCAAGAATACGTTCACTTATACGGTTTGAAGGATAGACAAAAGATTGTGGATATCAGCAGCATCAGCTTTAATTTAGGGGACAATGACATTGTGACAACCCTGCCAACTATCCTTCTGAGAACATTTAACAAGGTCTGCTGGCATCCACAAACATAATGAATGATGGTTGATCATCTTACACATGGGAACCTATTCATGCAAACAATTTCAGAGGTGTGGCAATACATTCCAACAGCTAAATCATGATAATGTTACACATTTCAGTGTTCACCATTCATAAGTAAAAAGACTGCTCCCCTACAACAGGTTAATACTGCTGCTTGCTCATCACTGGGACATTACTACCTCACCAAGATTTTACTAGCTCCTGCCACTGACAATCCTTCCACCTTTAAAATACATAAGCAATGCTTTTTTACATTGCGATGTTAAAATATTGTATATGCCAAGTCTTCTAAATAAAAAAAAAAAACAATGACCAGAAAAAACACTCGATAAGATGCCCATATGCACTTACCTGTTTCACAGTCCCATAATCTGCAAGAGTTATCTGCTGATCCAGAGAGCACATGGCGTGTATCCCCTGAACATGTAATTAAAGAATTTAAGATGCAAAGATGTAGAGACGTGCTAGCATGATCACTAATTACACTGTACGAATGCTAATGTCTTATCAGTGTGAACAGCTCATTTCATACTAACTTAAAGGGCATGTACACCCTTCTACCAGGTTCACACCCTATGCGTTTCTCAGTGCGATTTCAGTTTTGCAGAAAGTACTACAGTACATTTAACAAGGTTTCCTACGGATCACGTTTACATCTGTGCATTTTCCACCAGTGCATTTTTTAGAAAATGTTAGGGACCTTTTTTCCTTAACAGGTTATGTTTTGGTTCCATGGACTTCAATAGAAACACAGCAGAAATGCATCAAATACGCAGTGTTTGCATTTATACATTTTTGCTGGTTTCTTCTGCAAGACAATAAACACCTCTAAAAACACAAAACGCATCAAAAACATGTGAAAAAAATGCATCCAGAAAATTCATAAACCGCAACCTGCAGTGGTGTGAACCAGGTCCAACTGAATGGCATTCACTATGCTAAAGCGCAGTTTATCAAACATTCCACTGCTGACCTACTGAAGCCTCTTTTGAGCCACTTCCTTTCTCTAAAGTAACTCAAAATAAAAAAGGATTTATCCCCTGCCACCAATGTGTAGAATGTATTAAGTGAAAAAATGTGCTACAAAACAATTATATTAAACCAGAAAAAAATCTGGATTTGATTATGGATGCAAATAAAATAAAATGTTCCCACAATAGAAATAATAATCCAAACAATGTGTAATGCTGCACCTCCCCAAAAAGTGCCTTACAATAAAAACAAACATCCCATCAGACATTAAATCATCAACAATAAAACTTTCCCCTTGCATCAAAAACCAAAACATATATTGTACACAATTTAAATGCTTATTCTTCAACAGAAAGTGCTGTTTTATTATCTTCCGTGATGACCATATAATATAGCGAACCACCTCCTATAACATTGTGAGCATGCACACCGTATATCCATCATTTACTCCTGCGCTCACCTCCACTTTCTGACCTGTCCTCTTACAGCTTGTTTCCCTTTTATAGGGGTCCTTTGATCATCTCCTCTCCTCCTTATGGGCTCCCCTCAGTTGTAATTTTCCATCTATGGATCATTCACTTGTATACTATTTCTAGGTGTTTGGGCCTTTAAAAATGCACTCCCTGTCCTGTTTCTTACACAATGGGTACAGTTCCCCAGGTTTCAGATCCACTTTAAGATGGATGTTCAATTGCAATAACTGGAGTCACCTGTGAAGTGCTGCATGTACGGGCCACTAGGACTCAGTCCTTAAATCGACCCATGGTGTAGCTGTGGCCACACCAAGAAACAAGACAGGGAATGCATTTTAAAGGGCCAGACGCCTGGAAATAGTATACAAGTGAATGATCCATGGATGATTACGACTAAGGGGAGCCCATAAGGAGGATAGGAGGTGATCAAAGGACCCCTATAAAAGGGGAACAAGCGATTCTGACCTGTAAGAGGACAGGTCAAAAAGTTACACATTGTTTGGATTATTCCTTTCACTATACACTCCAGCAACTACTGCATGTCGCTTCTCAGGTTAGGTTTCCTGATGTGGACAACAGTGAAGCATGTCTGAGCAATGTGTGTTAGCATATCTGCTTGCAGTCTCCAGAACAAGTTACAGGGTGACAATGCAGAAGTACAATTTGGAGAAAGGGACAGAAAGCTGTCACCCCATAACAGGAATGCTTGCACAAGGACTTTCATGGCAGGATCTTCATGTATTTAATGAAAGCTACTTTCTCTTCAAATTAATTCAACATGTTAAAGCTTGAGGTTTTAGTGATTAGGTTTACGTGAACTTCAACAGCAGAGTCTTCTTAAAAGAGAAGAGTATCTGCAGGTTTCACTTCCAACACAAATCTACAAATTGAGGAATAATCCCCTTGTTTTTTTTTAATGGCAATGAAACATGCAGATACCGTCTATTTTTTCAAAGGCTCTACTGTGCTTTGCTCTGGTTTAGTGGAAGGCTTTTTACCTCCTTTAAGTTCACATCACCCTAGCTGGTTTGAGCATTCCTTTTACTTTTCATTACGGGCCCATTTTACACCTGTTCTCTCTGGTGCTTTACGGCAACATATTTGAATGCGCTGCCAAAACCACTAGAATGTACAAAGAAAAACCTTACCAGCACCTTTTTTCAGATACAGAGCTCATAGATTTGTTGTGGAGGTGCTTTTGCATGCTATGTAAAAAACATCAGGTGCGTCACTGCAATGCATACGTTTGACTCAAGTGAACATGTGTTGGCATCAGTCAACAAATTAAAAATGTAACTGTACCTGGGAAGACTCCTCAGCAACTTTGGCTGAAGAAACTGACTGATGTTCTAAAAAAGAACCTTTTCACACCCACTAGCCCTCACCATTGGACTCAAATATGAAATCACACTCAAAAGGACCTTTGTATAGTTTTTATATAACCTTTCCCTTTTGTTTTTCCCTTAGGTTATTGTCAACTCTTGGTTTAGGTGAGAGTTAAAGGATAAATTCACCTCGGGAACATTACATGTTCCACCTGTTTTTAGGGTGAAACACGCAACATGTTCCCAAAGCCGCAGCTGCCGCCCACCCAACCTTGGACAGATAGTACGGGTAGAATTCTCCCCGTACTGTCAAATTTGAAAACAGCGGACTTCCGTGAATGAATGAACTGCAAGTCTTGACAGCCTTAGCAGCTGTGGGCTTGTAGTTTTCAATGAACTACCAAGGCGCTGTGGAGTGTCGTGGTAGTTAATTGAAGTTTCCTGTCCGAATATCTGCTTGCCGCTACATCCTGTACAGCAAGCAGATAATCTGACAAGTCTGCAGGAGACCTGCATGGCATCAGCATCTACTGATCGCTGTTGCAATGCTTTCCAGTCTCCTGTAGACAAAAATAAACGCATTTTTTTACCTGCAAAAAAAGGTTTGTTTATTATTCTCTAAAAAGGTAAAAACTTTTCCTTAAAAATTACAAATGTTTTGCTAGGCTGAAATGAAGTACTTGAGCTATGGGTTCCTCTGAGTACTTAATGCCTGATAATATGTTTATTGTTTAAAATGGGGGTCACTTATTTACTGTTTGTAACATGGATTTGGCATTTTAACTGAATATGTATGGTATGAGTTTGTTTGTCTGGCAACAATAATTTTTTTTTTTCAAAAACAAAAAACGAAGCTGTACAGTAGGTACTGAAAGATGCCTATTTTGACAGCACTGCCTCCATGCCCTCTGCTGCACGCCTCAAACAATACAATTAAAATAAGCAGCTAAGTACACAAGTAAAATATATACTCGATTTTTGAGCTGTGGTGTGTATACACACACACATACAGTACACGGTTTTGAGTTAGCAATGATCTGTACACATGAATAAGTTACTATTTTTTTTATACTATTCACCTATTTGCCATGGAAACATTCTATCCCACCAAATTATTATATTGGCTTTCAGTACTTAAAAGGATACAGTCAACATCAACACACCACACTGCTCCAGTGTGGCCATTGTAGGTACCAAGTCGCTCTCCGTTCACAGAATACCAAACATTTACAACCTAGCAAGTAAAAACACACAATTAATACTAAAAGTGAGAAGTAGTCCTTAAAGGAAAACTCTAAATTACATGTAAAATGTGTATTAAAAAAAAAATTTTTTTTTTTAGATGTAAGCAGTACAAGTACTGTAATTTGACCTTCTGCACCCCATGTACAGCAGAACTCAGACTGGGAACAGGAGAAACAGCACAAAGCCAGTTGAAATGTTCATGTGCTATCAAAGATCATGCTGGTAGGAGGAGAGAGCAGAATGACAGTCTGCAGTTTCTACTTTTACTGTCCAATCAACAGCTGGGGACAGGGTAGATACCTGTAAGTGTTAGTTAGCTGCAGAAAGAAAAAAAAAAAAAATCAAGAGTCCTGCCATACCAGACAGGGCTGTGATGTGTGGCAGGTAAGTGTAAATCTCAGGACTAGATGAGCAGAAATAGAATGCCTTTGGCAGGTAAAACCACTCCTTTATATGTAGTCAGACATTGGCCTGAAGTTAAGCTTACACTTCCCAGTTCACTTCCATACACTTTTCGTTTCTTTGAATTTCTTTCAAAGCAGCATAGTCCAGGGAATTTACACATTTAAATATGTACAAAATGACATGTAATGGTTTAATCAAGCCCGTGTTCCTTCATGCCATAAGAAGCTGTGGAGGTACACATACAGTATATGAATGACACTTTCTTATCAGATTCACATTCTTATCAGCCCCTAAAACTGTCCTAAATAGAAAAAAAGCCCCAGCAGCAAAACCTGACACTTTAAACAGGAGGGGTAGAGACTAATAGTTTTCACTTACTGTGCCTATGCTAACACTGCATACGAATATATAAAAGTTGGCCACAGGTAAGTGGCTCATCGACAAACTTAAGCATGTAAATCCAGCCGTTTACTTACTGGGTCCTTGGCAACTGTAAACAGCAAGTCACCATCACGATTGTACTTTATCTGAGTAATAGACCTCTCATGGCCCTGAAGCAGGATTGGTCTCTGATAATGAAGAAACAATAAATTATACATTTCAAATATCAAAAGAAAAACTGGTTAATGCATATCATAAGTATTTCTCTGTAAGGCGTGTCCCTATCTGAAGCAGTGCAACAGTGCGCCTCATTATAACCACATATGGTCTCTGTTTCTCACTTCTTCCTTCATTGTTGCTTTATTTCCCTCCTCTACTCCTTACTGAGACCAGGAAGAGAAGGAGATGTGATGCTGGCTACACTGTACTAGATAGTTCAGAGGTGCCAGATAAAGGGTTGTTTTTTTTTTTTTGGGGGGGGGGGGGGGGGGGAGCATTTTACACCTTGGAGGAGCAACAATAAATAACGGTACTGCTAGGGGTAATCCCTCCCCTGCTAGAAACTCTTTCCTCTTGCCCGCTTGGCTATGACAGCCATAAGGGGCCTTGGGTGATAAAGAGCCAATGTCAGGGCACTGTGGGCTTTATTGACCCTTAGGAGGGAAGATGTAACGGAAAACGCTGGGTGCAATAACTAAAAAGCAAGTCATATACATGCACACAAACAGGTAGTCACGCACAGGTACTTTTAATCAGCATTTATACCATTACATATTCTACACATGTGAAAGACATCTACCAAATGAACATCTCCCCTGGCACATCACAGCATTCACCCGGCACTCCAAGAAATAACAGAATGCAAATGCAATATTCTTGCACTGTCAAAACCTCCACTTTTATTATCACACGACACACAGGATATATCTTATGGTCATCACTATCTGCATAACAACAAACACACAATAATAATGTGAGCATTACAGCATGCAATAGACATCATTTGACAGCGTCACAGCATAGAATACATTACCAAAGCTATGTTAGAAGCTGGAAGGAACAAATCCCATCGGAACCATACTGCCCAGGGGGTCACGGGGAAGCAGTAAGCGCGACCAATTGATGAGCTCACATAGCCTCAGCAAAAATCCCAGCGTCAGAGCGTCCTCTGGCAACTAGGGGGAGGGGACCTTCCTACTGGTCTCACCTGGACTCCCAGCTTTTAAACCATTTTTCTAGAAGCTGTCCAATAGTGAGCAGGCGCCACACCCACCATAGGAGGAGCTGGCAGTAGGGTTCCGCAAGGATAACAGTCACGTTCAACCACCATATTCGTTATCTGAAAAGTCACATTTTTGCTTCTTATCAACCCTAAACTTCTCATCTACCCCAAACTTAAAGATATCTAACTTCTCAAGCATCTTAAAGATAACTAACTTCTCTTTAAACAGGTTTTTATTTCCTAATGTGAGGTTACTAGGTGTCAAACACGTTTCATTCCATAAACAAGTTTTTATCTTGCTCTCAGCAGAATATCTTGTGACTGTTCCTTTGGTTTAGAGAAATGACATCAGTCACCTCTCATGCCCCTGGCATCTGGGCAACAATGCTTTATAGTAAAAAGGGTCCAGAGCCAACACATTTCATAGGCATTACAGAAGAGTACCTAGAAAGGAAGGGATTACTCCTAAGATTTTATCGGCTGGGTTTTTTTTATCATGACTCCTCTAAGTCCCAATAGAAATTGAGGGCTGATTAGGTCTATACTATCATTTGTTCACCTACATCCTATGTTTATGTCATGTTATCACCCACTAGTGGTCATTTAAAGATTGTAATACCATTCGGAGGAGCTTCCCTAACCACAGATAACTGCATACAACAGATATGATTCATGATTATCGGATATGTATGTGATGATGCAGGTTTGATGTAGTTTATATGTAAAATGTATGCATCCATTTTTGACACTTTTTAGCTGGGGGGCCAGAAGTAACCACTGTATGCCTTTTACGATGTCTTCATACCGAAGTATTTTGTTGCCAATATTTTGTTGCCAATATTTTTGGGTTACGGAGATAACACTGAAAACAGTGAACTGACATATCTAGAATTGAGTGTGTCTTGTTTTTTCCTTTTTTCAGTAGGGGGAATTTTGGTCCCCTATGCGATAAAAAAAAATAAAGTTTAGTGTATAAATAAAAAATAGGTACCTCCACACAATTGTAAACATGCATCAGGGTGCCTGCATACAAAATGGTTGATTGCACTACACGTTACATATTGCCATGCACACTGAGCAATAACTCTAGGGCCGCTGCTCATGATTAATTCTAAATTAATAATCTGTAAAAGCTCTTAAAGTGTTACTAAATCCAGGGCCCTGCATTCACTATATCTGGTCTCCCACAGTACACACTACATGGAAATGCAATTATTTTAGTAAATATACACTGCTAAATACCTTTTCTCATCAGCAGTTAGGGCAGTCTTGTGACTTCTATCAGTGTTCAGCAGAGCACTGAGTGAAGCTTGTAGGAGTTTTCTTTCTACTCTAGGAGGATGCAGAACCCTTGACCTCTGTCTGGACAGTGCTGATCACATGCACTCTCCCAAGAAAAAAAAAAAAAAAAAAAACTTCTCTAGGAATACACACCAAACTGAGCATGTGCAGAGTGTCTCCACACGATATGTCTTATCAGAAGATATGAGGGGAGCACTAGAAGGGGAGGATCAGAGAAGTCAGGATCAAGCAGCATTTTTACATAGTGCAGAGGATTAACCCCTTAGGTTCCTCAATGAGTATAACAAGCATGCTTTAGTGCATATAGACTGAATTTTACTGTTGTGGGTAACACTTTAAAGCATTGCCTATGGAAAAGTTAGGGTACCAAAGTTTCATGCGTTTCACAGGAACATGCAATTTTAAAGATCGTTGGCTATTTACTTAGAACTTTTTTTTTTATAATTTACATATTATATTTTAATAAACATTTGGAATTGCACTTCTGTGACCTAATATGAACTTTAGTATATTTCTTTTGCGATTTTCCCCTTGATAAACTGTTGAGCTAATATTGTCTGATATAAAAAAAAAAAAAAAAAACGAACTACTACCAACATTTTATGCTCTAGGGTGTTTACTTTCAGAAAATATATTAAGTTTAGGGGTTTAAACTATTATTCAGGTCTAAAATGTTTTAATCTAATCATATGTGCAAAAAAAGGCTCTGGCAGCAAAAGGGTTAGTCATAATCCAGTTTGTACTAATCAGAGATCAGGAGCATGAATTTGTTTCCTCTAAGTCAGTGGTCTCCAAACTAGGGGCCAGATGTGGCCTTTTGCTTTACTCTATGTGATCCTCAAGACACTATTCCTCCCGTTGACCATCAGCAGGGCTCTATTCCTCCCACCGACACCATCAGCGGGGCACTATTCCTCCCACCGACACCATCAGCGGGGCACTATTCCTCCCACCGACACCATCAGCGGGGCACTATTCCTCCCACCGACACCATCAGCGGGGCACTATTCCTCCCACGGACATCAGCAGGGCACTATAACCCCCACCGACATCAATGGGGCACTATTCCTCCCACGGACACCATCAGCAGGGCACTATTACCCCCACCGACATCATCAATGGGGAACTATTCCTCCCACTGACATCAGTGGGCCACTATTCCTCGCACTGGCATCATCATTAGGGCACTATTCCTCCTGCTAAGACCAATGATGGGGCATTACTCCTCCCTTTGGCTTTGTTGATGAGGCACTATTCCTCTCATGGATACCCACCATGGGGCACTATTCCTCTCATGGATACCCACCATGGGGCACTATTCCTCTCATTGATACCAACCATGGGGCACTATTCCTCTCATTGATACCAACCATGGGGCACTATTCCTGGGGCACTCCTCATTGATACCAACCATGGGGCACTATGCCTCATTGAACCATGGGGCACTATGCCTCATTGATACCAACATGGGGCATACCTCCCAACCATGGGGCACTATGATACCCATCATTCCTCCCACTGATACCAACCATGGGGCACTATTCCTCTCATTGATACCAACCATGGGGCACTATTCCTCTCATTGATACCAACCATGGGGCACTATGCCTCATTGATACCAACCATGGGGCACTATGCCTCATTGATACCAACCATGGGGCACTATGCCTCATTGATACCAACCATGGGGCACTATGCCTCATTGATACCAACCATGGGGCACTATGCCTCATTGATACCAACCATGGGGCACTATTTGATACCAACCATGGGGCACTATGCCTCATACCAACGATGGGGCACTATTCCTCCCACTGATACCAACCATGGGGCACCATTCCTCCCACTGATACCAACCATGGGGCACCATTCCTCCCACTGATACCAACCATGGGGCACCATTCCTCCCATAGGGGGCACTATTCCTTCTGCTAAAACCAACCATGGGGCACTATTACTCCTGTTAGAACCAATGATGGGACAGTGTTTATTCTGATGCCAAGACATTTTCTACTCACACTGGCCACAGTCCGGCCCCTCTAAATCCTGAAGGACAGTAACCTGGCCCTTTGTTTAAAAAGTTTGGAGATACTATACTGAATAAGATGGTAAGGAAAAAATATGGGCTCATGTACAGTCAGGTCCATAAATATTGGGACATCTACACAATTCTAACATTTTTGGCTCTATACACCACCACAATGGATTTGAAATGAAACGAACAAGATGTGCTTTAACTGCAGACTGTCAGCTTTAATTTGAGGGTATTTATATCCACATCAGGTGAACGGTGTAGGAATTACAACAGTTTGCATATGTGCCTCCCACTTGTTAAGGGACCAAAAGTAATGGGACAGAATAATAGTCATAAATCAAACTTTCACTTTTTAATACTTGGTTGCAAATCCTTTGCAGTCAATTACAGCCTGAAGTCTGGAACGCATGGACATCACCAGACACTGGGTTTCATCCCTGGTGATGCTCTGCCAGGCCTCTACTGCAACTGTCTTCAGTTACTGCTTGTTCTTGGGGCATTTTCCCTTCAGTTTTGTCTTCAGCAAGTGAAATGCATGATCAATTGGATTCAGGTCAGGTGATTGACTTGGCCATTGCATAACATTCCACTTCTTTCCCTTAAAAAACTCTTTGGTTGCTTTTGCAGTATGCTTTGGGTCATTGTCCATCTGCACTGTGAAGCGGCGTCCAATGAGTTGTGAAGCATTTGGCTGAATATGAGCAGATAATATTGCCCAAAACACTTCAGAATTCATCCTGCTGCTTTTGTCAGCAGTCACATCATCAATAAATACAAGAGAACCAGTTCCATTGGCAGCCATTCATGCCCACGCCATGACACTACCACCACCATGCTTCACTGATGAGGTGGTATGCTTAGGATCATGAGCAGTTCCTTTCCTTCTCCATACTCTTCTCTTCCCATCACTCTGGTACAAGTTGATCTTGGTCTCATCTGTCCATAGGATGTTGTTCCAGAACTGTGAAGGCTTTTTTAGATGTCGTTTGGCAAACTCTAATCTGGCCTTCCTGTTTTTGAGGCCCACCAATGATTTACATCTTGTGGTGAACCCTCTGTATTCACTCTGGTGAAGTCTTCTCTTGATTGTTGACTTTGACACACATACACCTACCTCCTGGAGAGTGTTCTTGATCTGGCCAACTGTTGTGAAGGGTGTTTTCTTCACCAGGGAAAGAATTCTTCGGTCATCCACCACAGTTGTTTTCCATGGTCTTCCGGGTCTTTGGGTGTTGCTGAGCTCACCGGCGCGTTCCTTCTTTTTAAGAATGTTCCAAACAGTTGTTTTGGCCACACCTAATGTTTCTGCTATCACTCTGATGGGTTTGTTTTGTTTTTTCAGCCTAATGATGGCTTGCTTCACTGATAGTGACATCTCTTTGGATCTCATCTTGAGAGTTGACAGCAACAGATTCCAAATGCAAATAGCACACTTGAAATGAACTTTGGACCTTTTATCTGCTCATTGTAATTGGGATAATGAGGGAATAACACACCTGGCCATGGAACAGCTGAGAAGCCAATTGTCCCATTACTTTTGGTCCCTTAACAAGTGGGAGGCACATATGTAAACTGTTGTAATTCCTACACTGTTCACCTGATTTGGATGTAAATACCCTCAAATTAAAGCTGACAGTCTGCAGTTAAAGCACATCTTGTTCATTTCATTTCAAATCCATTGTGGTGGTGTATAGAGCCAAAAATGTTAAAATTGTGTCGATGTCCCAATATTTATGCACCCGACTGTACACTGCAGCTGATAAACTGACGTTCAGGAGCTGTTCAGAGTTTTTTTTCAGCAGCCCCTGAACTCTCCCTAATGTTGTCCATGTACACTATGTCGTTTACAGGCAGTTGAGTTTGGAGTTGTTTTTTTGAACACACCAAACTTGCGTTCAGGAGTAGATTTTACAGGCGTTTCAAACGCCAAATGCTTGTAAACGTGGTTAAGTGTTTGCGTTTGGAAGCTTTTTTTTTTTTTTTTTTTTTTTTTTTTTTTGTTCCATATCCAGATGCTGTCCAGAGCCTTTTTTCATCATCATCAGAAATGCATGCAGAGCATTTTCCATGTATTCAAATGGACCTAGCACCAGCGTAGTCAGTTCCAGGTTTTGCATGAAGGAAAAAAATGGTAGAACGTGCTGCATTATGCTCATAATGAGATCCATAGTGAACACAACCAGAAATGACAGGTCATCTCAACAAACACTGCTCTATTTCTCTAAGAGCTCATGTACACTGCAGCTGATAAACTGACGTTTAGTAGCTGTTCTGCGTTTTTTTCAGCAGCCCCTAAACTCTCCCTAATGTTTTCCTATGTGTCCAGGTACATACAGTCGTTTACAGTCATTTTTTAACACCCCAAACTTGCATTCAGGAGTAGATTTTACCAGTGTTTCAAACGCCAAATGCTTGTAAAAGCATGTAAACACAGTTAACCGCATTTAGAAGCGTGTGTGTTTAGCAGCGTTTTTTAAGTGTTCCATGTCCGGATGCTGCCCAGAACCTTTTTTCATCATCAGAATAAATTCAAATGGACCTAGTACACCAGCTCAGTCAGTTCCAGGTTTTTCGTGAAGGAAAAAATGGTAGAACGGGCTGCATTATGCTCATGATGGGATCCATAGTGCATACAACCAGAAAAGACAGGTAATCTCAACACATACTGCTCTCTCTGCTTCTGCTCTCTCTATTTCTTTTAAAACGTCTGAAATAGTTAATTTTTTACTGTTTTTCAGTGCATTCTGTGCATTTGGGAAGGTCTCCTGAGATTATCTTTTAAAAATGCTTCTCAACACAAACGCACATAAACGCGGTATGCAAGTTTATGCATGTTTTCCAGTAGTGAGTTTCCATGGTTCAGAAGAGTTTTCTAAACTCCCCATGTACATGAGCCCTAAAAATGTCTGAAATAGTTGATCTATTTTCAGTGCATTCTGGGCATTTGGGAAGGTCTGAGGTTATTTTAAAAACGCAACACTTCTAAACGCAAACGCATATAAATGCGTCTGAACACACACAAACACGGTATGCAAACACAGCTAAACTGACTTTTTAACCTACATTTTGCATGGTTCAGAAGTGTTTTCCAAACACCCCATATACATGAGCTCTAAGGGTGTTCCTAAAACTTTACTACTCCAGTCCTCCTGGGCACCCACTAGGAAAGTTCACGTGTATGTGCCAGGTTTGGTTACTTTTAAAAGAGCTTCCTGTTAAACCAGCAGCCAACTAAAAGGGTGCCAGCCTAAAGTGCTGGAGGCTTCACTCACAATCGAGTCAGCCATCACAGGATTTACAGCTACAAAGTAATTAAACAGAAAATTATGGCTTGTCTTTTTCCGGTGTATAAATCGTGCTGCCCACTACCCCCAATCTACGAGCCCCGTTACCCACCATGTTGAGATCAGCTGCCGGTTAGGATCAGCGCGTGTAGAAAGAGGCCGGAAGTCGGAACAATAGAGTATACCAGCTCCGCTCTCTATGGTTCCAGGTACCGGAAGTGCTGGCAGTCAGGAAGCGTGTGTAGAGCGCTGTGGCTGGTGTGTTGGGGAAGGGATTGTTGGCTGTTATGTCTATGGCTGTAGTTGATGTGGGCTCGCTTCTGCTGGTGGCACTGTTATGGGGAGTCACTAACCCGTTCCTGCGGAAGGGAGCAGAGGGGGTAGAGAGAATGAGAGAAGACAGGACAGTGTGGAGGCTGCTGGGTGAGGCCAAGTTCCTTATCTCCAATTACAGGGTGAGCGAGAAGATTAGCTGTCTTCTATGTCCTTACTGGCCAAACCCACTTGTTTAACTGAAAACCGAACCCCACCCTAAGCTTTTCTTTAAGCCCAAGTTTTTTTTTTTTCAATTTTTAAATCCGCACAAGGTATGGAACGTGATATGTCCCTTGTGCTGGTTTCTGCGCTTATTGTTTAAAACTTTGCCCCCTATACCTGTAATCTTTTGGGGCGGAGGTTTAATACAAGCTGCTGAGCCTATCCTAGGGCTTCGTCAGGAGTGCTGAATATACCCACCTTTTCTGCCCCTCCTCCATTCTTAGAAACTACATTACAGCTTTCAGCAATGTATAGTGCTCTATGAATGACAGGGTGCATGACTGAAAGGTCTGCCTCTCCAATTCATCATTTCAGTGATGGCAGCTCTAGTACAGCTTTGATGAATGAAAGGTCTGTCTCCCCCATTCATAGATCACATTTCAGTGATGGCAGCTCTAGTACAGCTTTGATGAATGAAAGGTCTGTCTCCCCCATTCATAGATCACATTTCAGTGATGGGAGCTCTAGTACAGCTTTGATGAATGAAAGGTCTGCCTCCCCCATTCATAGATCACATTTCAGTGATGGCAGCTCTAGTACAGCTTTGATGAATGAAAGGTCTGTCTCCCCCATTCATAGATCACATTTCAGTGATGGGAGCTCTAGTACAGCTTTGATGAATGAAAGGTCTGCCTCCCCCATTCATAGATCACATTTCAGTGATGGCAGCTATAGTACAGCTTCTGTGAATGGAAGATGGATGAAAGAAAACACGGCCTTCTCCATTCATAGAGTGTGTTTAATTGCAGGCAGCTATAGGACAGCTTCTATGAATGGAGTATGGGTGGATGAAAAAAAAAGTCTGCCTCCTCTATTCATTATTCACATTTCATTGATGGCAGCTATAGTACAGCTTCTGTGAATGGAAGATGGATGAAAGAAAAGTCAGCCTTCTCCATTCATAGAGTGTGTTTAATTGCAGGCAGCTATAGGACAGCTTCTATGAATGGAGTATGGGTGGAAGAACAAAAAGGTTTGCCTCCTCCATTCATAGAGTGCTTTTAATTGCTGGCAGCTGTAGTACAGCTTTTATGAATGGAGGGTGGATGAATAAAAGGTCTGCTTCCCCCTTTCATAGATCGCTTTTAAGTGATGGCAGTTATAGTAAAGCTTCTATGAATGGAGGATGAGTGGATGAATGAAAACTCCTCCATTCATAAAAACTGTACTATAACTCCCAACAATGAAAAGTGCTCTATAAATACATTAGCATGCACAATTATTAGGCAAATTGTATTTTGGGAGGATTAATTTCATTAGCAGTCAATCCAAAATGTTAATAAACCTCATACCTGAATATTTAAATCAGAGTTCCAGTCACACTGTAAAAAAAAATAGAAGGCAGCAGCAACAACTGTAGCTGATGACTTTTAAAAAACACACTCATCTGTCCCTCGATCCTGCGGTGTCCTCCCCACAGCCTGTTTCACCATCCGTCCAGTGTTCCCATCTTCAGTGTGGGCACCCGGCTGTGACAGCTTGCGGCTTCACAGCCATGGACCCCAAAGTCATATGGCAAGTTACACAAGTGTGAATGGACACTTAAACCCAGGACCCTGCATTCGCTATCTGGTCTCCCACAGTACACAGAACATTGAAGTGCAATTATTTTAGTAAATATAAACTGCTAAATACCTTTTTGTCATCAGCAGTTAGGGCAGTTTTGTGACTTCTATCAGTGTCCAGCAAAGCACTTATTAAAGCTTGTTGGAGGAGTTTTCATTCTGCTCTAGGAGGATGCAGGACCCCTGACCTCTGTCTGGACAGTGCTTATTGGCGATGTGCTGATCACATGCAGTCTCTTAGGTTCCACAGTGAGTATAACAAGCATGCTTTATTGCATATACAGACTGATTTGATTGTTGTGGGTTTAGAAACACTTTGATATTATGGTGGTCTTAAAAGATGCAGACATTTTGCTCTACCACTGCTTGAAGAAAAGGTCTTCTTGGAACTTGCAGTAGGTTTGGGAGTTGATTTTGAGTCCATCTAGCACATCTTTAATAATACCAGCCCATACCAATACCCCACCTGATCTTTCATTTTACCAGCCCATACCAGTACCTGACCCAGCCATGGGCCCAATTAGCTGGTCCATCAAGAGTCACTCATCTCATTAGTCCATAAAACCTTTGAAAAATCTGTCTTCAGATATTTCATGGCCCAGTTTTGACAACATATTCAACTTATAACTTCAGCTTATGTGTCTTGTTCAGTGGTGGTCGGGTTTTGGCTTTCCTTACCTTGGCCATGTCTCTGAGCACTGAACACCTTGTACTTCCAGGCATTTCAGGTAAGTTGCAGTTCTGGAATATGACAGCACTGGAGGATAATGAGCTCCTGGTTGCTTCAGGTTTGATTCTTCTCACATCTTTGGCAGTTAATTTGCATCTTTTTTTCTCCACACGTTTCTTGCAACCCTGTTGACTATTTGTAACAAAATGTTTGATGGTTCTATGAGCATGCTCAATATCTTGGCAATTTCAAGAGTGTTGCATCCCTCTGAAAATCTTTTTACAATTTTTGACTTATCAGAGTCAAAGTCCTTTTTTTTTTTTTTTGCCTATATTACCTTAGGAAAAGAAGCTGCCTAATACTTATGCACACCTTGATATAGGGTGTTGATCTCCTTAGGCCACACCCTCCCTAATACACAGCACCTGATATGCTTAAATCCAATAAGCATTCAAGTTTATACAGCTTGGAGTTGGACAATTTGCATAAAAATGATGATTTGGTCAAAATACTCACTTGCCTAATAATTGTGCACATATTGTAGAGAGTGTGTGGATGAATTAAAGGTCCACCTCCTCCCCCCATAGATCATTTTTCATTGATGGAAGCTATATTGCAGCTTCTGTGAATGGAGGGGGCAGAAAGGGTGAGCATAGTGGACACTTTGAACAAGTACCTATGACAGGTCTAGCGGCTGTGTTAACCCCCGCAGCACTGGAAGATTACTACTTAAGAGGTAGGGGACAAGAGGGGTGCACAGAACTGAAGATTTCAGTTAAGACAGCAGCCATCAACATAGGAGATACTTAGCATTCAAATTAGGTACCCCATTCAAAGGAAGTACCAGCCCTTGTTCACATTAAAAAAAAAAAAAAAGAGCCAAACACAGGCTTTAGGTTTTTTTACGCATGGAAGAGGGTAGAACATCTGCCAGGTTTTTGTTGCTATCTTGGTGCCTGTTGGTTCTATCCCTGCATTATCTATTCCAAACAAAGAAAGTGTGAGATAGTGAAACATGGTTCAGCCTGGGAGAGCCAATTAAAAATCTTAAATTATAACTAAAAGCAAAACTTTTTTATTTTTCATTTGGAAAGACTCACCAATGTCACCAGGAATGAAAGCGAGTGTAAATCCAAAATTTTAAGTTGCCACCAGAACAGGAATAGAAGGGAAATCTTCCAATGGGGATGCTTGTTCAGTGACAATGTGTCTAACAGGGGATGTTCCTCACACTTGTTGAATCTACAGTACAAGAGCTGAAAGAAAATCTCCCTAATGAGACACCTATGGCAAAAATACAGCAGTTTTACTGTGTTGTTGTGTTAAAAAGTTGTATTATGTTAAAATGAAAAAAAAGTTTTGCACAAAAAAATCCAAGTGCTCTTTTATATTCAATGCGTTCAAAGAATAAACTTATATTAGCTTACTTTATAACAAGCCCTCACTGGCCTCTCTGCTGTAGGCATTGTGGCACAATTCATAAGTTTACAGCAGAAACAAATTTTCTCATTAACCCAGCTCATCATGCCTCCCTTCCAACAGTGCCAAGTCATCAATACAGCCTTCTAATCCTTAAGTAGAACTTTGGGCAATTTTTTTCAATTATGTATAGAGCAAGGGAGGGTGATAACCCCTGTCAGATTTTTTTTGCCATCTGTATCCCATTAAGGAAATTTCCCTTCACTTCCTGTCCCATAGCCAAACAAGAAATGAGAAGAAATCCCTGTAAATCAAGGGAGTTCTTTACAGACCAGGCAGGTCATCGGAACTAGTGTCCCCATTAGAAGATTTTCCCTTTATTATTTTTCTGGGGGCACCCCAAAATTTTTTTTTTTTTTTTATTTTCACTCTCAACAATAATGATGAATCTCCTTAATGGGGGCACAGACAGCAATAAAAACTGACAAGCATTCTAATCCCTCTCTACTTTATCCAAAATTAAAAAAAAAAAAAGTTTTGCATTTGGTTATACTTTAAAGTGGTACTAAAGGCAATCAAAATGACATATGTGATGCATTCTTTCACAGAATGAACAAAGTATTCTTTGTTTTGCTGAGTTCTTTAAAGTGGTTGTAAACCTCAGGCATGAGATATGAACAGAGCATATCCCTCTACAGCACGGGTGTCAAACTGGCTGCCCTCCAGCTGTTGCCAAACTACAAGTCCCATGAAGCATTGCAAGATTGACAGTTACAAGCATGACTCCCAAAGGTAGAGGCATGATGGGACTTGTAGTTTCGCAACAGCTGGAGGGCCGCCAGTTTGACACCCGTGCTCTACAGTGTGTACTTGTCTCAATTAAGAGCACTAAGTTTTATGCTGCCTCATTCCTCTGCTAGCAGCATGCATCACTTCTGACAAGTTTTCCTGACACCAAGAGAAAAAAAGGTGACAAGGTAGGGAGCTCCAGCACACAGCCTGTGATTGACAGCCTCTGCTGTGTGCTGAGCTCTCCTCACTGAGTTCTGCACAGTGTAACCTCAACTCTCTGCCCCCTGCTTTCTTGCAGCTCAGACAAGCTTTGTAAATTCTGGAGTTTGAATGGACACAGAGAACAAAGACTGCAAATAAGCAGGTACAACTTATGTAGAAGGATTTGTTTCATCTCTGTGCATCACCTTAGGCTAGTCGATTCACTGGGTATATGAAAAGGTTTACTTTTTAAACTTTTTGTAACAGACCAAGCTGTACAGCAAAAGTAGCAGTTAGAGGGTTGAGACAAACCATTAAATACTGACAGGGGTGATTACAATGGTCAGATTTTGTTAATTTATGTGAAACCTTTATCCCAAAAATAAAATAAAAACTTTGCTGTAGCTGCTTAAAAAGTGGAAAGAACTCTAAAGTGGAAAGAAAAAAGGGCGGGACTTTACAGGTACCAATAAATGTACAAAATTATAATAAAAAATATGGCTTTATTGACAAAGTTTTAAAAGAGCGTTATCATACATAGAGCCATAAATAACCCTGTACATCAATGGTTGTCTGCATTGTTTAAGTTCCATCTAACAAATCTTCAGATGGCAACTTGAGACCTCAACGCATTTCAGCTCATAGAGAGCCTTTATCAGGAGGAAAGTTCTGCAGTTATTCTCCTTCTCTTTCTCACAGAAGGATCAGGCAGCAGAGGGAGCCATTGGCTTCTGCTGTTGTCAGTCAAATCCTGTGTGCAGAGAGTGGGGGCTGGAGCTGTTTGTCTACAGAAACACAAACATATCTGCACCATAGCAAGCGACAGAAGAGGAGGAGCCAAGATCGCTGACTGGGTACCCCAGAAGAAAAGGTTCAGAGCTGTTCTGTGCAATTTAATTGCACAGAGCAGGTGTATATAACATGCTTATTAAAAACTCCTTCCACTCCGCCGTATAGCACATATACTGCTACATGGTGGCACCTATGTACAAAATCACGTATATATACATGATTTTGCATTTCCAAGTAGGGGGTGTGCTCGAGCCACACGCGCGCCCTACTTGCGCCACCAATCGCGGGTGCGGATGTCAATCACCGGGTCCTGGCCGTTAATTACCCACTGGCAATTACCAACAATCACAGACGGGGAGGAAGACTGTTTTGTTTACAGTCTTCCTCCCTGTCAGCTCGAGCACACTACCCAGGATGGCTGTGCACAGCACAGCCATTCAGATTAGTGTGCTTACAGTAAAGCACACCCCCCGCCCCCTAGTTAAACACTCCCAACACATAGTTAATCCTTTGATCGAAACTCACATTAACTCATTCCTGCCTAGTGCCATTAGTACAGTGTCAGTGCTTCTTTTAGTACCGATCACTATATTGGTGTCACTGGGGATGTCAGTGACACCAAGTTAGTTCCCCCCCAGTGTCAGAATGTCTTCTGCAGTCCCGCTAAAAGTCGCTGATTACCGCCATTACTAGTACAAAAAAAAGAAAATCCCAGTATCTATACCGCCATTTGTAAACACTATAACTTTCACGTAAACCAATTCATTTACACATATTGGGATTTTTTTTTTTAGCAAAGATGTAGCAGAATAAATTTTGGCCTAAATTTATGACAAAATTTGATTTTTTAAAATTTTTTTACTGGACATGTTTAATAGCAAAAAGTCCAAAATATTGTTTTTTTTTTCTCAAAATTGTCTGTCTTTTTTTGGTTATAGTTTAAAAAATAAAAAACCGCACAGGCGATCAAATACCGCAGAAAGAAAGCTCAATTCGTGGTAAAAGGATGGAAATTTCATTTGGGTGCAGCGTAATTGTCAGTTAAAGTAACACAGTGCCATAATGCAAAAAAAGGCGTGATCAGGAAGGGGGGTAAATCCTCAGGAGGGCAAGTGGTTAAAAAAAAAAAATTGCCTTTAGAAACACTTTGGATAAGAATGCACACACCTCTTTTATTTGGACATTATTTGCTTTTTCTTGAGTTCATCAGCAGTATGTAAATATGTCGCTGTCTATAGCTAGCACTAGTCATTCTGATGCAACAATGTTCTGGCTACTTCAATACTTTGCATCATTGACCCAAACAAGTATGCAGGTAAGGTTCTACAACTTTCAAATGTTATTTTTGTGAACTGAAAATAAAATAACTGCAAGCAATGCTTCATTCACACAGCATTGGGTGCACAAGAGCCCTCTCCTAGCTTAAAGGATACGTTCAGCTTTCGTAATATGGTATATGTTACACCCATATTCAGGGTGTATCGTGTTAAGAATGGACCAATCAGCACTGTCCAAACAGAAGTCAGGGGTCCTGCATCCTCCTAGAGCAAAATGAAAACCCTCCTACAAGCTTTAACCATTGCTCAGCTGGACACTGATAGAAGTCACAAGACTGCTCTAGCTGCTGATGAGAAAAGGTATTTAGCAGTTTATATTTAATAAAATAATTGCATTTACATGTTCTGTGGGAGACCAGATATAGTGAATGCAGGGTCCTGGGTTTAGTAACACTTTAACACTAGGCAGCCATAGAAGATGGCATTTAGTTTACCACAACACCCCAACCCCACAAGCTGCAAAGCGTGAATTGAGGCTCAGAACTGACTTCCAAGCATCTGCAAAACCCCCACTAAAAAGACAGGGTAAATGAGCCCTACCATTCACATGACTATCTCCTAGATTGTAAGCTCTAAAGAGCAGGGCCCTCTGTTTCCTCTTGTACCAAATTGTATTGTAATGTCTACCTTCATTTTGTAAAGCGCTGCGCAAACTGTTGGCGCTATATAAATCCCGTATAATAATAATGACTGAAAGTGATCATTATGGCAAATAACAGGTGTATTGAAGTGGTAAATTGATCTTAGTGTTCCCATCTTTTCTTTTTCAGTACATTATACCCTTTCTTCTTAACCAGAGTGGTTCAGTGTTTTTTTTACCTTACACTGGCATCGACGGGTATGTACTAATTTTTTATTCTGTACTGTTATGGAATATGTTTAATTGCTTTAGGATGAAAACTTTAATGTGGTAAATGTGGAGGATATCAATGCTTACATCCCAAAAATGCTGCTTGTCTGTCTAGCCAAAATAGATGTATACCCTAACTGGGTGGCATTTACTTTGCTAAAACACTGCTTATCCTAAACCATTTCCATGTTTAAAATACTAGCTTTAACTTTTTCATTCTTTGTTACATCAGCTCTGATGATCTCCTGCAGACACTTTCCATCCACTGCAGGACAGGTTTCCCCATACTTACAACAATGGACCCTGCCTGTAATGTGTGTAGAACTTGTAGTCACTTGTGGTTACTTGTAGTCATTATCAAAATCCCTGATGACAGGCCGCTGTTGGGAAATTGGAGCAAAACATTTTTTGCCTTATACCAGGAAGTGCTGGAACAAGTATATTTAAATTTGTTTTATTTTTCTTACTTTACATTAACATGGTAAAGTTTATAAGAGATTTCAGTGGCGGCAGGTGAATCCAGAACTCTGCATCTGTATACCTTTTCTGGATCATTTACACAAAGTATTGAAGCCACTGGATCAGCAAAACAGAAAAGCATTTTTAGGAGTGGGTGAGCAATGGGAGCCAACACATTTCCCAAGCTTCTTTAAATAATTCATCCATTTTCATTTCTGTTTTTTTGTAGAGCTGTCCTTGGCTGTCCCTGTGTGTAACTCTCTTGCACTGGTTTTTACAGTGGTGACTGGATGGATCTTGGGAGAGAACATTGGTGGGAAAGGTAAGTCAGTGGACTTAAGTGTCAAGTATACTTTATTAGTCCATGACATAAGTAGTTACTGCCATAAGTATTAAAAATCTTAACTTTAAAGTATAAATAAAGGCTTTTTTTAGTTTTTAATAGAGTGAAGAGGAATTAGAATACCTGTCAGGTTAAAAAATTGCTGGTGTTCATAACCCCCTTACTCTATCAAAAAATTTGCACTTCACTCACAGAAGGCAATCTTGTGAAATTACTGTAAATTGGGCACCATATATTGCCTACATTTGCTTTCACTGTGTTGCCAGATATGCTAGTATCCTATGTAAATAATGACTGTCTGAAAGGTGGTATTTGCTTGAGCCTAAGCGCACCACTCACACAGTAATGCTTAGGTCTGGCAGTAAGTAGCTTAGGTGCTGAGTTGTAGGGAGGCAAAATTTGCTTGTAGATGCAAACTGGTAAACCACCTAGTGCCTGAGCCAGCTGCTCCCACCCCCTCCACAGTCCGGTGTTCCAATGACTGACAGTCACTGCTCTGTGCTCAGAGCGGACCCGAAAACAGAGTGATCAGTGATCTCTGATCGCTCAGTTCTTGGTGTAGAGCTGGTTGGGGACAGCTGCAGCATCAGATCGATGCTGCAGCCATCTAGTTGAGTATTTCTGTTTATTATTTTGGTTTCCTACACTTCTCTTTTAATTTCCTGGAACAAGACTGCTCCCAGGCCAACATCAGAGGTACTGATTTGTACAAGAGATTCTTGGCATTGGGGATGGTTTATTCTGGTCCTTTACACAACACTGCCTTGATAGGTATTGATTTTAGAAAACCAGTTATAAACTCTGGCTTGCGCCTTTTTGGCCTTGCTGCATACATTCCAGAACTATGGGCATTATTGCCGCTTTCATATCCTTCATCTGAGAATTGTGCACAATTTATACTTTTGTGAGATGCAGTCTCATGCTGTCTTTTTTCTTAAGTTAATTCAGGAGTCTCCAGGGTCATCTACCCTACAAAAGTCTATACAGGGAAAACCCTGTGGAAGACTGTGACACTCCCTTTATTGAAAACATTAAAATAGAGCCAAAGGTAAATTTTTTTTTTTTTCATTTTGGACAAAGTAAGGAAGGGCTATAACCCCTGTCAGTTTTTTTGCCATCTATATCCCATTGTTAAGATTTCTGTATTACTTCCTGTCCTATAGGCAAATCCTCTTTTGTTTTGTTCAACCCTTTATTGACCCCCCAACATAAGAATGGGCTGGATTGAACAACATCCTTGTGTGAGACTGGGAAACCACCACCTGTTCCAAAACTTACTTACTTGCATTCCTTCTTTACACAATACAGTAAGTCATGATATCCTGAGGTACCCTGTGTGGTCCTATAATCCTTCCTATCTGTTATTTTTGGCATTGGGGCAGTTTGCTCTTACTCCCCAAGTATGACCTCTAGGGTGAAGTTATCAGGTAACTGAGGTATGGGTTGCCATGGCCATCTGAGTACTCCCAGTTGGTTTGACACAAGCTTAGCTAGGTCCACCAAACTGGAATGCGCCTAAGTGATGAAGCTTCTGGAGTATAATAATGCCTCCACCCACTTATCTTATTTTAATAGAACATATTCAGTCTCAGTTCTGAAGTGTGCTGCAAGAACAGGCTTGTCAAATAGTGACATATGCCTCCCCAGGTCACATTCCATAGACTCATGTAATATGGGGCAATTGGCAGCCAAATGTCCCAGTTATTGGTACTGCCACCACCTAATATGCCATGTCACTTCTAAGGATGAGACTCCTATTGGACCTGGAGGCTGTTCCTATGGTGACATCCTTGGGTGTCTTTCTCAACCACCCCTTCCTTCTTGGGATCCTGTTATTCCCTTGGACAAAAAAAAAAAAAAAAAATCTCACCCAAGGTTGGAGCTATTCTGTTTCCAGGGGTTATCTGCTTAGCATTATGTGGCACCACAAGGGGCTGAAAAAACGAATCGATATAATCAATTATAGTTGATTATGAAAATAGTTGTCAACTATTTTCATAATCAATTAGTTGGTCAGCTGATTAGTTGGCCTGCATACAGAATGCATTATTTGTTTACATATCAGAACATACAGTGCAGCACACATACAGCTCAGTACACCATCCATACATGTCATTATACACAGTGCAGCACACATACATCTCAGTACACTGTCCATACATGTTAGTAAGTGCCTGTGTCATGACCTGTTTCTCCTGCTGGTGGCAGTGTACTTCCCTAGGTGGAAAGCTGCAGTTTTAGTGTCCACCAGCAGCTACACCTGGACACACCTGCTGGGAAGGTACCTTACCGCTTCCTGACCGCCCTATAGTAGAAGTATTGCTACAGGGTGGCAGGGATGCGCAAAATTGTGTGTGTGTTTTTTCCAGGTAGGGTGGCGCGCTCCCTACCCATTCCGCTGTTGGCTTCCCGGCATGTCAATCACCGGGTCCCAGCCGCTGATTCTCGACCAGGACTCGGTGATCGTCGGTGGAGCTGACAGGGGAGAGGTCTGTATGTAAACAATACAGATCTCTTCCCTGTCAGCATGAACAGACTGCTTTGTATTGCTCTGCACAGCAGAGCAATACAAAGCAGATTGTCTACACAGTAAAACACACACAGCACACTATGTAAAAAAACACACAGTTAATCCTTTGATCACCCCAGATGTTAACCCCTTCCTGCCCAGTGTCATCAGTACAGTGTCAGTGCTTTTTATTAGCACTGATTACTGTATTAGTGTCACTGGGGATGTCAGTGGCAGGTAGTCAGTTCCCCCCCAATATCAGAATGCCCGCCTCAATCCTGCAATAAGTTGCTGATCGCCGCCATTACTAGTAGAAAAAAAAAATTCCAGTATATATACCGCCATTTGTAGAAGCTATAACGTTCATTTTAAACCAATTAGTTTACACGTATTGGGATTTTTTTTTTTTTTAGCAAAGACATGTAGCAGAATATATTTTGGCCTAAATTTATGACGAAATTTTGTTTTTTTAAATACATTTTTTTTATTGGTCATGTTTAATAGCAAAAAGTCAAAAATATTTGTTTTTTTTTCAAAATTGTCGGTCTTTTTTTGTTTATAGCGCAAAAAATAAAACTGCACAGGTGATCAAATACCATCAAAAGAAAGCTCTATTTGTGGGGAAAAAAAAACATACATTTATTTTATGTACAACGTTGCATGACCGCGCAATTGTCAGTTAAAATAACGCAGCTCCGTATTGCAAAAAATGGCTTGGTCAGGAAAGGGGGTAAATCCTCTGGAGGGCAAGTAGTTAAATTCCACTTCGTCTACGGCTCCTTGCTTCTGTGTTTTGGTTGCTCCTGTCTTGAAACCTTTTCACCATGCTGCTACCAGACTCTGTTGCCAAATAGCTCTTGGTTTGCTCTGTGACCTTGCTGCCTTGCTCCTTCTCAGTCTTGTTCCCATCCGCTTCCCCAGGATTCCCCCTGCCTTGCATATTTCACATTTGTACATATTTGTATATTTAGTTAGTCATTGGGTTTCTGTATTTTGGGTGTTCAGTTTTGATTTTAATGTGTTTTCATGTTCATTACTGTTGGTGTGTGTTGATGGTGCACTGTAAATAAATCACACTTTAAAGATATATATATATATGTGTGGTCTGGTCCCACTTTCTGTGTGTAGCTACATTTATCTGGTCATCTCCTGTGCTGACTCCTGACAGCCTGAGAACTTGTGATTGTGTGAGGAGTAATGCTTTGTGGGACGTATAGTCTTGGGCAGGAGAAGAAAGTGCTTTAAAGTGAATCTAAAGTCAGAAGTTTTTTTACCTTGTTATGAGGGGCACTCTATACTGTACTTTGCGGCTTGCTATGAAGGTACTCTGAAGGCAGGAGGAGCCAGAAGGGTTGCTCTGTGCAAAACCATTGCACAGAGCAGATAAGTATGAGAAGTTTGTTGTTTGAAAAAAAAAAATCCAAGCTTTACAATCACTGTAAGGGCTCTCTGCAGGGTAGATCAGCATCTGAACACAGAGAAGCAGGAGGCTGATAGACTGCAGATAATCTAAGGCATTATTGCCAATAATGGATCTCCACAGCAATGAAAAGAGCAATGTATATGTTCCCTCCCTCTTCAGTAATCCGGCGTCACTGCCTATGAGTCTGGAGACACAAGAGGAACATTGCTGGTGATTTTCGGTCCACAACAAAATGGCGCCGCGTACCGCGCATGCGCCGGTCGCCAGCAAAATGGCGGGCGCTAAACAGCGTGATTTGCCATTCTTAGAGATAAATAGGGGGGAGAGGATGTCCATGCTGTAAGCCCTGGACCCTTTTGACAAAGTGCATTGCACGAAACGCGTCAAGGGGGGCTACAGCACATGGACATCTAAGCCACCGCAGGTGGCCAACACTTATTCTTGCGGTCAGTACGTTTTGCCTATTTACCTTATATATACTTGGAAATAAAGCTTTTATACAGTATCACGCTATGGGATGTCCCTTATTGCACTTTATGAGCATTACCCTTCTAGTATCAAGCTTAAGGAGAGACTCCGGGAGGTATCAAGCCTAAGGAGGAACCCCAGATAAACCTAACCTAAGGAGGGACCCCAGAAGTGAACCAGGTATCCGGCCAGGAGGGATCTCTAGTGAGAGTGGAGCCTAACCTGAGACCTAAGGACCCTGACGCACCTGAGGGGAAAAAAGGAATTTTCTTTTCATGCGTTTATTGAACGCACTTCTGGTAAGTGCGCATTTCACCCATTTCCTGTTCACCTGTGGATTGATTATCCAGAAGAAAGGAGATACGACAGAATTTGCACATCACACTTTTTGTGTGACTTTGGGACGTTTAATATATCCATAATATTTTAGATATTGATTTGATTATAATATAGTAGTATTGGCATTATTAGCGCTGCACCTTTTTCTCTTTACACTTTAATACTAAGGCATGAACTCCAGGCAAAAACGTTATTTTCCCATGCAGTGGGTCTGTGCCTGCACTGCATGGGTTAACTGCTAATTTTGTCCAGGGTGCAAGGAAAAGCAATACTTACTCGATCGACCCTTCGATCCTCTGAAAAACTGTGCCCCAGCTCTCCACGTCTAGTAGTGGACTGTTTCTGTCGTCCACATCTCCAGAGTCGCTCTATGGGCGTAAGGAACAGTCAATTCACAAGACTGCTAGTGTGTGGGGGGGCAGGAGCTGCGGGGACCGGTCTTACACTCAGAGGATCGGTGGATTGGGTAAGTATATCTCCTCTCTGCAATTCCCTAGGCAAAAACGAGCAGTTTACCCATGCAGTGCGAGCACAGCACAGGAAAATAACATTTTTGAGTTCTTTAAATTTTCTTTTCTGCTCTTTCGAAATTTTCCTGTCACTATGGTCAAAAATGAACGTTGATTTGATCTCACTAATTAGAAATTCAAAAGGACATTCCTAAAACAAATGTTTTCAAACGAGACCGCAAGTGCAGGTAGCTTGTATCAAATTACCTGCGTATGACAAGGTAGTATTATATTACAATCTTGTCTGAAAATCTTCAAAACAGTATTTTAGGTCTTTTTAAATGTTTTTTCTTTCAATAAAAATTTTGACCTCTGAGTCTGATGGTATGTGCTAGATTCAACTTCTGTATATGGTATATACATCTCTTGTGTCTGCTATTCTCAGAGTGGATTTGATATTTTGTTACCCAAACCATATAGCTGTTTGTCCAAGGTCATATGCCCATGCAAACACATGCTGCCTTCAGACAGCCATGAAAACACAGAGCCTGGCTAGAATTTCTCCTCTGAGCTTAGTATATCCCTTACATCCTGAAGTCAGAGTAAGCTTTTTGGGGCTGTCCAATTTAAAGGGAGCTAGCACATCAGCCCACTGCTCATTAGCTTCTCACATTTCACAACTCTCTCAAAGATGCCCAGATAGGCGTCAACATCATCCTCCAGGTTCAATTTTTACAAAGCACTCTGTACCAGCTGTCGAGGTTGATATCAGCCCCCTGTGCCACCATTTGCCTCTTTGACTGAGCCTGTATCTGCTGATGTGTAGACAGATTCACTTGCCTTTGTCCCTCTGGCCATACATGGGTCCTAAGAATAATTGGACAATTTTCGCTGTTAGTGGGGCAATGGCACCAGGCAATTTTCGTGGTTCCTCCCCATTTCATTTATTGGGGATGCTGGAAAATTTGTGAAAAACGACCAATTTTTGAAATCATTTTTGCCACCATCGGATTACAGAACGAACAATGTTTTCAATTTTTGATTGAAAAATCATTCGGAATTTGATCCATGTATGGCCTGCTTAAGGAGGTCTGCTGGGTTTCAGTCAGCTGTTGCATCTGTCTAGTGTTGAACCAGTTCACCTTTTGCAATAGCTGATTAGTCAGGTGTTGGTTATCGTTTTCCTACAATAGCTGTTAAAAAAGCTTATCCATTTTGTACAGTTTTATACAATAATAGGTGTGTTTCTCTGAAGCACTGGCCACATCCAAGCACCAGGTTGTAAGGGGGTTATATATTCAGTTAGTCTGTATATCCATGAGTTATATTTAAGATTATTAATACTTTGTTATGGGCTTTTTTGCAGGAGCCGTGCTTGGGCTGCTTATCACGATTTTTGGAATTTCAATCTGTGTGGCAAGTTCTGTGAATGACTGAGGACAGTTAGAGGGGACTCTACAAATAATACTTGAAACATGATTCCCAGTGGGATAAAAGTAATATAATTTGAAGGAAAAGAAAATACATCATAAGACTCATGCACACAGGATATAAAAAAATGCCACTTCTAAAGACATTTAACTTTTTTTTTAAAGCCTTTAAACGCAAATAAGGAGATGAGTGCTGGAGACGCTTGATTGGCATAAATGCAGGTGTGTTAGGCACTAAACAATAGAACTAATAAATGCTCAAACATCTCAATGAATTTGCAGCAAAGGCATCCAGGAGAGGATAAAAAAAATCCTGTGTGCATGAGGCCTTTTCTTGACTGGACAAGCAAATTGCAATATACAGTACATTCTTTAAAACATCTCTAGAAATATATTAAAGTTTTGTCTCTGATGGACCAAAGTTTTCTGTACTGGCATGTGTAAATGATATGTAATATAAAGGAAACCCATTGTGTAGAAATATGAGTTGCCATATCTTCTCTTATGAGAGTTCTAGTTGAATGTCTGTCATGCAACTCAAAAGGCTTTAGAACTTTTTGAGTCTCTGGCTTGGAACAAGTTTGCAGAGCAGGTTTTCTGACTTAAATTTCTGCATACTTGAAGAAAGCCAGGAAATTAGCATTTTAAGAAGAAACTCAGCAGTGTCAATATTTCTCCAAGTACAGATTTCCTTTAAAGACTGTATGCTGTATAAATCAGCTTAATGTAAACAGCTGTGTGCAATGGTCATGCGCATTGGTCACATGAACAGCTGTATGCGGTGGCCCTGCTGTTCAGGTTCTAAGTCACCTAAACAGAGGTCTTGTCAGATCACAACCATTGTAAGTACCTTACCTGAAGGCTTTAGCAATACACGTTCTGTCTTGGTTGAATCAAAATTTCAGGGTATTTCACAACTTCTGAAGTAATAGCAGTACAGCCAGAATAAGGACATATTTACTTATATACATGAATGAGCAACATTTTAATTCCAAACACCCCTATATTAGACAGTATGGGGAGCAAATGGAACACATTTTTCCTCCTTGGTAAAGTAGACATCCAAAACCTGTCATATTCATATCCATTCTGAAGGTAATTCAGTGCTGGAAAATATTATGCAAGTTAGCAGAACTGTAACATGTAGGTATTTAGAGACTATAAATACTTATAGCAAACTGTATCTGGAAGTCATAAACACAGTGACATCCAGCAGCCACTCCTTAGACTGGATGATTGGTCACATAATTTTGGTCAACACCCGATTCAAAGCCCAGAAAAAAGGGACTGCAACCACAATGGAAAACTCTTGTGTAGCATCAAAGAAGGAAGATCTGTCAAGTTATGAGCGCCAATGTACCATCTTGCTTAATGATTGAAATCTGCTGAACCAGGGCTTGATAAGTATTTTCATTTTTCAACCCTTTTGCTTTGCTGTTGCATTGCTGTTTCTTTGTTACCTTTACAATACATTTTTCTCTGTAAATATTTTATATGCACTGTTTTTAACTTTTCATTATTAAACCATATTTTGAAAAATGTTAAAATTGTCTCTAATGCAAAACTCAAAGAATCCCTGTCTCTTGATGAGTGTTACTGCAAGGTAGATCTCCAAATATACCTGTCTGTGGTGACAGTGTGTATACAAACTTTTATTCTAAAGTCATAATTGCTATTGCTAATCTTTACTACTTCTCAATAAAAGTAGTTGGTGGCAGTTTAAAGGGTTAGTTGCTTAGTTAACCTAACCCAGTGACAATTGCTCTCAGTCTGTTGGCACTTAGATTGTGGTCCTACAAGCTGGAAAATCTTTGTGCGGGTTGAGGCAGAGAATGTCAGAGTTGTGTATCAGTGACAGCATGGTGTGAGGTTGACCAATCATTTGTCACAAGCTGGTGAAGGTGTTAGTGGTCTAACACTGTGTTTGTCACACTGTACACTTTTTCTCTATGTATAGTTTATGTACACATTGGGTGGCTACATGTGCTTATTATACATACAGACCATATTTTCTATTTAGTGTTGCTGCAAAGTGATTGTATTTTATTGGGAATCTCACTCCAGGTCTGTTAAGTTGCTTATATTTTACTACAATAAATTCCCTCTGTTTTTTGTTCTGTAGCTGATTTTTCTCAGCAGATATGTAGTAGAAATACTGATAGCACTACCTGATGTAGAGACAGTCATTAAAGAGAGACCAAAAGTAAGTAAACTATAAAAATTGCATTCAGATTAATTTCACACAAGCAGAATAATAATTTAAAATATGTACGCACTAAAATAGACTGAAGTTACTCTCAAGAACAAAAATATTTAGATACAAAAATATTATTTTAACGCTGAGGATTTAACTAAATCTGATAAAGGGATGGTTCTGGGTTCATTATTTATTATATGTGTATTTACAGTAAATAAATGTGAGTGTGTGTGGTATACACTCCTCAGCCACTTTATTAGGTACACCTTGCTATTACCAGGTTAAACCCCCTTTTGCCTTCAGAACTGACTTAATTCTTCATGGCATAAATTCAACAATGTGTTGGAAATATTCCTCAGAAATTTTGGGCCATATGAACATGATAGCATAACGCAGTTGCTGCAGATTTGTCAGTTGCACATCCAGAAACTGTTGATACAAGGCAGGATGGATCCATCCTTTATTGTTCAATAATTTGTATTTAGTATTTACATAAAGGCACAGCCATACAAGAGTACCTAGTCCGCCCACGCAGAGGCTATGACTGGTGCCATCAAATTAAAGAAATATGCATAGAAAACATAAAAGAGGAAGTACATTTTCCACCAATAGGCATATTGAGCACAAAACATAACATGTAAGCCCATCAGGGACTCCACCCCCCGTGGGCATCAGAGGTAGCCCTGGTATCAAACCAAACAGAACAAAGTGGAACAAACCTGGGCATAGAAGGAGACAAGGAGGGTACAGGACCCCCAGAAAGGGTATAAAATCGAGTACAAAAGGAAAACAAAGGCAAGAGAAGAAAAGACAGAGGGTCTGGGACTGTCGGAGATAACAGTCAGAGCCGGCCCATACTTATCAGGGAAGGCATGCGTCCACCACGGTTCCCAAATCTTCAAGAATTTGGCATTGGAGACATTGAGAACACTGGATATGTGTTCATTAAGCATCAGAACCATCAAACGGTCCTTTACTCCCTTCAAAGAGACTATAGGTTTATTCCATGCCTGGAATAGGTGGGGGTCAGTTGAATGCCCAGGTAACTAATAGATGAGGTTGCCCAGCTTAATGGGTAATGGGATTGTAAGAGAGTAACCAATGCCTGTTTTAGAGTGACATTCAAGGCCATGGATTGGCTAGGTTAACCCATAGGCCGATAATAGACGAGAAACACGCCAAAAGGTGTAGCAAAATAGGAAGAGTCGTGAGTGGGTTGGTCAGCATCAGAAGGGTGTCATCTGCAAACAGGCTTACTGTACTTTGAAATCATGGCCTGCATAAGGCATTCGATTGACATTTTGGTCCACATGAATCGTGTTTGCTAAAGTGCTAAAAAAAAATAATGCTGGGGACAGGGGGCAACCTTGTCTCGTGCCCGTATAGATGGGGAAAGGCACTGAAAGGTACCTGGTGTATTTTTAAAAAAAAAACATTTTTATCTTTTTTTTATTTTAAACATATGAAAACATACAGACAACAGATGCCCACGCAGGGGCAGGGTCAAAGCCCAACAAAGTGTACATAAAAAAGCAACGGTTCAAAACAACCCAAGGGAGAAAAACAGAGGGAGGGGAACCACAGATAATATTTAAGGCCTAATCATTTATAGACAATAAAACCGGACCAGAACATATAAAAGGGAACCCAGCTCACAACAGAAAAAACAAAGCACCTGGGTGACTATCCGTCAATCAATTCCCCCACATCAGTTGCCGCAGTGGCGGTAGAAATATCATCAAGCCAACATGACCAAATTTTATGAAATTTGTGGGGGCATCCTCTATTAGAATAGGTAGTCTGATAAAGTGGTAAATTAGAATTCACCAGACGTTTCTAATAGGTTATGGCAGGGGGAGACGTTTTTTCCAGCTTAGAGTAATTGTTTTGCAAGCGTAAAACAACAGGACTATTAGGTGCGCTTGGCCACAGCAGGAGCCAGCGATTCTACCAGCCTCAATAAACAGAATTTTGGGTCAAGGGGAACACTAATATGTACTACTACTTCAATTGTAGTAATACTGTCTGCCAAAAAGACATAATAGCAATGCAGGTCCAAAAGTTATGAAAAAACTCCCCGTCTTCGTGAGAACAACGCCAGCATACTGGAGAAAAAGAGGGCTTCATTCTATGTAACCGATATGGGGTAAAGTAAGCCCGGTGTAAAATTTTAAATTTAATCAGTTTATCTCTGGCAGAAACTAGGGGACAGAAGGGATAATCCCAAATCTCGGACCAATCATTATCATCCAAATTAGGAATGTTCGTCCTTCACTTCAGAGGTAAAGATACCAATTCAGGGTTGGCCGCCACAAGAAGATATCTGTATAATACCAATAAGGGTTGTTTCATGTGTGGTACACGAAGGACAGACTCCAACTCAGAATAGGAAAGGGAGAGCGGTCGTAAAGGGAACTGACCTCTAAAGACATGGGAGACCTGAAGGTATCTGAAGTAGGAATGCGGGGGAAAATTGAATTTAGCTTGAAAAGTGGGAAAAGAAAGGAGCTCGCCACGACCCGTGATGTGCTCCAAGGTTTTAGTATGGTACTTAGCCCATAATTGGGGGTCCGGAAGGGAGGCGAAATGAGGAAGAGAAGGATTTAACCACAGTGGGGTATGTGGGGAGCAATTACTAGGGGGGAGAGATTCCAATCTAAGCCCTGCCTCCCAGGCCCAGAGGATGGTACGCATAAATGGGGTGATACTACGTGGTGATCTGGGACCCTTATTATTATTATTATTATTATTATTATTATTATACAGTATTTATATAGCGCCAACAGTTTGCTCAGTGCTGTACATTACAA